CAGGCGGTCAGCAGTCACCCCAGCCCGTCAGGCACAGGCGGTCAGCAGTCACCCCCAGCCCGTCAGGCGTAGGCGGTCAGCAGTCACCCCCAGCCCGTCAGGTGCAGGTGGTCAGCAGTCACGCCAGTCCATCAGGCACAGGAGGTATCTCTCATGAACCGGCACTGTCACCCCCAGGCAGCCCCATTCACAAGCAATAGACAGAAGTAAAGCCCTGCCTGGGGAGCATATTTTCTGTTTCTTGCTGTGGGGGACACTTTGCATTTCCATTTTCCCCTTGAATATCTATCATCCTATTTGTGTCGGTATTCTGGAGCCCATAGGGTTTCCAAAACTATTGTATATGAGTACCTTCTTTCACTCCATTCTTCATTGTACATGGAGTCCAAACTGTTTACAGTTTGTTTGCAATGATGTGTCAGATAAGACTTGTGTAGGTCGGTGCAGGTAAAGCGATCCAAAGACTTCAAATGAGCAGGTTAGATGATCAAGGCAGAGAGCTGTAAGGATTCATCATAAAAGTAGGGTTGGTCCTATGAACTGACTTTACCATGGCCATAAAAAAATTACAGTCAGTATACTTACCATTAATTTGTAAGTTCCATGAAAAATAACTCTCTGAGGAATTAGTGAGCATTCTAAGCAGACATAATGAGGCTGTCAAACCCAACCACCTTGTTAAACATTTGGGCGATTGAAGCCTTGTAAAGGAGAAGTAAGGTCCTCAAGGACCCAGGCCCGTGGCAGCTGTAGGATTCTGAGGTCATGTTCCTTTGGCTCCACCATGCAGTTCCTGTTTTCTGCAAAGCCATTTAAAGTTTCTGAGTTAATGTGACTTTTCTATAAAAGGAACTGGAGAAATACATAGAAAGATGGTGTGTGGGATGGGGTGGGTAGGGAGGATATTTTCTGGAACTGGACTCATGTAACCTCTGAGAAGTATATGTACCATATAACAGTTTCTATTTCCTTATCAGATTGCTTACCCAGATGCCAGCCCATTCTTGATTCTTTCTGAGGCATCCTTGGCGGATCTCAACTCCAGGCTAGAGAAGAAAGTTAAAGCAACTAACTTCAGGCCCAATATTGTCATTTCAGGATGTGGTGTCTATGCGGAGGTAATGCTATGCCTTTTTTTGCCTCTTTGCTTGGCTTTACCTTTTTTTTTTTTTTAAGGTGTGAGAGAATTTGACATTGGACTGGATCATTCTGAAGGGTGCACTATTTATTGAGTCTGTACTACACAAGAATTCAATTTTTTTTTTTTTTTTTGAGACGGAGCCTCAAGCTGTCCCCCTGGGTAGAGTGCCATGGCATCACGCTCACAGCAACCTCCAACTCCTGGGCTCAAGCGAGTTTCCTGCCTCAGCCTCCCAAGTAGCTGGGACTACAGGCGCCAGCCACAATGCCTGGCCATTTTTTGGTTGCAGCCATCATTGTTGTTTGGCGGGCCCGGGCTGGGGATTTGAACCCGCCACCTTAGGTGTATGTGGCTGGCGCCTTAGCCGCTTGAGCCACAGGCGCCGAGCCAAGAATTCAATTTTTACATTTACTGAGCACCTGTGTAGAGTGTTCAGATATGGAGGGGGCGGAGACTGTGTTGGCAAGGACGCAGTTCAGTGTGGGCTTCTAAGGAGAATTCTGAATAGGCACACTGGTTTTTGAGCCTCATTTACATAGCATAGACTACGTGATCCATGTACCATGGAACAAATAGAGTGTGTGCTTGTCTCTTGTTAGAGAGGAGCTTTATGTTTAGTCCATGGTTCCCTTGGGGAAGATGGGCACTTACTGCAGGGTGAGTGGGCTTGGCAGGAGCTGTTGCCCTTGAACTTGATGGCATTTCCCCAAACGACTTGCAATGCCACCTTCAATCTACCTTTAGATATCTGTATTGGGACGTCGGTTGAATGGCCCCGGGCTTGATTTCCAGTGTTCACATGATTCTGGCATCAGATTTACCTTCATCATAGTCACTGGATAGTTAATTTGATTATTTCCTTGGTTTACTATGAAGGCGGTGGTTGGCTACCTAGAAGCCTGGTGCGTGGCCCCCAGCTCTGGATACTCCACAGAGACACTAGCCCTCAGATGGGAATTGAGAAGTTCTGATCCTGCTCCCTGTTTGTATGTGACAGGGAGAGAGAGGTTAAAGGAATAAGAAATTGGTCCTTATCACTACGCATTTCCTGTGTCACAGGGAAAAATGGAGTCCAAGCAGTGGAATTCTCTCCTTATTCTCAGGGGTACTAATTCTGTCCTTCAGTTTTGCTGTGAGGATAAAACAAGATATGTTGACAGAGAAGCAATCTAGGAATTTGGTTCCCACATTCAAACTTGAGAATCTGAGGTCTGTGCTGGCTTCTGCCTAAGTTTATGCAGGCCCCCTCGGTCTCAGTTACCTTGCCTGGAAAATGGGATGATTACTTCTGCCTAGGATACCTCATACTATGTAAGTCTGTTGAAGGATTGATTTGAAAAGTACATATGCAATATCAGTTGATGGAGGGAGGGGAATAAAAGAACCCCCAGATTGGCTTTTAATATTTTATATAAAATCCTCTTTGCTCAGTCCCAAACTTCCATGCATATCTTTCCTTGTAAAGCCGGCAGAGACCACCCTATATGCGGGAGGTGACCTGTGTGCATTATTCCCCCAAATCCTGGGTTGGGCTGCCCCCCATGTTCCTTTGTGACCTGGGGAGCTAGGTCTATCCTTGCTCATGTCCAACATAGGTCAGCCTGACTTGGACAAGAAGGAAAAAAAAGTCAGTGTTTGGTTGACTCTGATACTCATCTTGCCCCACCTGTGGCCAGGGGAGCCATTTCCCCCCAAGGGTTCTAGTTCTCGGGAAATGAGGCATGGGGTTGGGGGAAGGATTTTTATCTGATGCTCCTGTTACGCTTTACAATCATGTTGTCTCTTTATTCCTTGTGGCAGCCCAGTGAGGTGAAGTTATCATCCCCATTTCACAGAGGAGAATGAGAGGCCTGGGGAGGTGAGAGGGTTTGCCCCAGGTTGCATCACTGCAAGAGAGGAGGAACTGGGTTTTGAACCCAGATAGTACTGCAGACCCGGGTAACCCTGAGAATTCTTGGGGATGTGCCTGTACGCAGTTGGAAAATGTGCATAATTTCAACTGTGCCAGTCCCCTGCCCTCACTGCCTGATGGGAACCATGAGAATCAAGGATGGTAACAATTGGTTGAAAATCTACAAGAGAGAAGGTGCCCTAGTGAGGTAGGGGCCAGTTTCACTCCTGCAATCAGAGTGAAGAGCTGCCTCAGACAATAGCTTTCTCCTGAATTTAAAGCTTTCTTACCTCCCAGTGTGATCTTGGTGCCTGATTGAAGATATTTCCTTCTCCAAAATCTCTGATGGTAACATGTGGGTAAGATGAGAAGGGATGGCTGGGAGGACTTCAGGCCTAGGAGATTCCTTTGTTTTTTTTTTTTTTTTTTTGAGACGGAGCCTCAA